ACAATTAGGTATGGTACATACTAAAGCCAGTCAAATGTTTGCCTATAATGTACCTTTCTGTGCATTAAAAAAAATTTAAAAAATTCCTCTCAGATACACTATAACATCTTTATGTTGTTGTTGTTAAGTGTTGTTGAGTCATAGATGACTCATAGCGACCCTATCAACAAAAGACCTGAACACTTGTATAACTTTCATCATTTCTCCAAGTTCATAGTTTCCAGAGGCAAGCTATCTTTATGCACACTGTGGGTAACAGCCTTATTTTTGAAATAAAATTCTTTTATACTGGTTTACTTACTAAGTTCATATATTCTTTTTCATACTGGATCTTTCCTATTTCCTTAACCCACCTGTCCCTCTACCCTTTTATTATGAGTAATACTATTTTTTTACTAATTTTAATGAAAGTTTACAGAGACTTTTATGTACCTAGAATGTTGAGTAGTCTTTGTGAGGGGGCTCAGAACTGACTACAAGTTATCGTCAGCAGTAACCCAGAGACCTCATTCCAGCGACTAAAACAGGGCACACCTGTGGTAGTTGATCTGTTGCTAACTTACTTGGTACAGGCGTGCGGTGACATAGGGGTGCTTTACCTGGAGGGAGGGTCAGGTGCAAACTCGAACGAAAGCATGCAAGGTGAGTTCAAGCTAGGTCACAGATGGTAAAACCATTGACGGCTGTCTGCTCCTGACCGTTTTCCTGTCAGAACCAGAGACTGCAGGGGCCTGGAAGTAATCATCCCGACTTGTCTCAGAAATACCGTGATCCTCACAAGGAACTGATAGTGTCCCATGAGACAGTAACCCCTCAACTCCTTCCTGCCACCAAGCAGTTCTATGAAGTGACTCCTGGAGCACACACAAGTATTGAAGGGGGAGAGGGGAGTCAAAACCATGTGAACACTGGAATGACTGCCCTCAAACCAGGTAAGACTTGGGGGACTTAAAATGTGCCCGGGGCCTAAAGAAGACATCAGAGCTGAAAGGCAGCTAGCTCAAATAAATGCACTAGTATCGCCAGATAGTTCATGTTCACAAATGTTTATTGAGTGCCTTGTGTACAAGGAGAAAAAAAAGACATGGTCCCTCTCTTGCCGAGCTTACAAGTCCATTAGTCCAGTATCTGACATGGCTGGAAACGGTTTGTCTTCAACAGGCTACCAGCAGCACTGCAGGACGCACACTTCTCACACGGCTGGTCACTGCTGCAGGGACAGCGGGCCGTATGGAGAAAGCCAGTACCTTGGAAGAGCTGGTGTGACGGTCACGACAGAGTATCTAACACTCAGCAAACGCACATGTATGGCTTAGCATCCTCGTAACAGAGGGGTCTACCGAAACAAGACACACAATCAAAGAGGAAAGGGACTGAGAGCACAAGTTCTAGGAACACTGCGACAGCTGCTTCTGTCATGAAACGGCCCCAGATCTGTAACAGGACAGCACATGGCTCCCAGCAAAGTTTTTACACTAGAGTCAGTTTAATCAGACCTGCAAAGCTGGTGACCACACACGCCCGCTCAGGGCAGGGGGGAATGCGACTTTACGTTTGTGGTTATGCAAGGCCTCAAGGTCTGCATTTATTCCTTAACAAGGTGGCACAGGAAAATTTTGTGAAAATGATTCGAGAGGCTTCAAAAGCAAAATGAGCAAACCCTCAAGCTCTACTGCAGGGCCAAGTGTGGAAAGTTTCGAATTCAAAAGGCATTCTGCAACTGCTAACCCCCAAAGCGGACTCGCACACGCAGCAACCCTCCTGGGCAAAGTAGAGAGACCCGCTCTTGGCAATCGACAGCCTCACCTTCTGCCACAGAGCAGCTGGAGGGTTGGACTCAGCACAGCTCCTGGCTGTTCTGGGCTAACAAGGGCTATCACATTCCCTCAGTTGCTGTCTGGCGGTGCAGGTGAGGGAGCTGCTTTCATGCCATGGGCACTTCATTTTTAGGAAAAAACACAACACACCAAACCAAAACACATACAGCCCATAGGCTCATCCCACAGGCTAATTTTCAGGCCCAATGCTTTCTGACCTGACACTCCCAACTATCATTAAAAAGAAGGCCACATCAGAGCCACAGTTCATTTAACCCCTCAAAAAGCACATTTTTGGTGGGCTGTTTTGGTTGGTTTTTCTTTGGGGGTTTTGGGGGCATTTTGGTTTTGTTTGGAGGTTGGTGTTGTTTTGGGTTTTTTGTTTGTTTGCTTGTTTGTTTTTGCAAAGAGGTGAGACCACTTAACAGATACCCTAACAGAAATAGTGGACAGCAGGTACCTTTTTGGGGGTCACGTTGCTTAGAACACAATTTACTTCTCTATTTAAAGTTTAAAAAAACAAGACACTAAATTGTTATCTCAGCAGAATGGCTGTGAAATGCATTCTTGACCCTCGCCGGCAAGCACAAGCGCAGTGCTCATCTCGCTGGCGTGCTAACCGAAAAGGTCAGTGGCTCGAATCCAGAAGCCACTCTTTTGGGTGAGATGGGTCAACTCCTCCCGTAAAGAGGAGCTAGACCATTAGAAACCTGAGGGAGGGTCGAGTTGAATGAACAGAGGATTTCTGCGGGGTTGGGGGACCACCAAAGAGGAAGAAGGCTGGTGATCCCTGAGCCAAGTGTGACCTGGCTGCCTCCTCGTCCTTCCCAAGCTCCTGGCCCTGGGCCTGGCTGCTGCATCACCTCCTGGAGCAAGTCTCCTGCAGACACAGGCTTTGTGGGGGGAAAGAAGCGGGTACATCTGTGTGGAAGGGGACAGTTCACTTCTTCTTTGCATTGAAAAAGGCACTTCCCAGAGGTGTGCTGGGCCTTTGCTAGGTGGCACGGCCCCGCTCAGACACAAACACAGCTCCCCTCCCCAGCTGGCTGTTTAAAAATGCCACCTTGCCTATTTTTTTTTTTTGTTTTTAAACTTTTTTCAATTGAGTGCTCGAAAGGTCAAGGATGAAGAAATAAAAAACACCCTCCAACCAATGTTCTCTGGTAAGTGGTTGATACTTGCAATCTATTACACACTTTAAAAATATCAAAGCGTAGGCTCTCCGGGAGAAGCGCTGGAGATTATTTTGACGGGGCTTAATGCCTTTCTTGGAATAAGCCAATATAGGCCACTAAAAAGATAACTACTTGACAAGATCAAACTAGAATCTCTTCGGGAACGGCCGTTTCCCTATTAGCAATGTAGTAGACTTTATAATAAAAGCTGGGAATGAGGAAATCTCGTCTTCAAGGTAAATTTGTATGTCACCGGCGGGAGCACGTTAAAGGGACTATCGTCAGGAGGATAACCCTCTTACTAGGGCTGACACAGCTTCGATGGAGCTTAATTAATGCTAACGTTGTCTTTTCTGTAACAGGGAGATTAAAAAAAAAGGCTAGAAGAGATGAAAATCTCCAGGATAAAGGCACTTGATTGTGTTGATGAGTTATTACTTTTGGTCAGGCCAGGGTCACTGTTCCAGTCCCCGTAGGCAGAGGGAACGGAACAAAGGTTCGACTCACGATAGGAGCATGAGGGACAGCGGCCAGGTGCCCCTTCCCTGCTGCCATGGCCACTGAGCTTTAAGAAGGGAGATGGCTGTGGACACCTGGCCTGGAGATCCACCAGGTGAGGCTTTGGTGAAAGGCAACAATTTGCAATCCCTGCTCAAAGGCACACACGAGTGTCCCGCCTGGATGGCAGGCACTGGCTTGGGTCACCATAACTGCACTCAGGAGCCACCGAGGAAAAGCCCCAAAGCGGGGTAAAACGGAAAGCCTGCGCCTGGGCATCCTTTCCAAAAGGTGGACCAGCTCGGTGCTGACCACCACAGGCAGAGCCTGAACGTGTGGGCACTGGGTCCTGTCTGGCCACTGACGCGGACAGGGCCAACAGTGGAGATTCACCGGCCTGGCCTCCTACAACTGAGCAGAGCCTGCCTCCTGCCCTCTTCCAACAGCTAGGAGGTAGCGCCAGAGAGAGGGCGGGGCCCAGGCAGCCAGCAAGGGCACCTGCAAGCTCCATGCAGCCTGTTCCCTGTCCAGCAACAAGAGAGGTAGCCTGCCCTGGCCCGAACCTGGTGACGTCACCGTGCCCACGTGGGGAGCTAATTCTCTTTTTTTGGCAGCAGCTGAAGGGGTGCTGAGCGATGACCAATGTTCGGATGAAGACTAGCAGAGAGCTGAAGGCTGGCACCTTGAGGAAGTGAGGCGCCCCTTAACCACCTCCCTGGGTGGGGACTGTACTCCCGAGTTCTCCGGGCTCAGCGTCAGAAGCGGGACAGGATTTACATTCTGAACAAGAGGCAGCAAGCCACAGCTCTGCAGAATGGTCACCATTTTCCTCAAGGTTACTCTGTAGGTGATCAAGTCTGAGACCTACAGTCATCTCGCCCCTCCTCTCCCTACAAATTAAAAAAGTCCGGGGAACTGACTGGCGCATCTTCAGTTTTCAAAGCAAGTCAACATTCCGTTATCACTGTCCACGTGAAGGCATTGTTTCAAACAGAACGTGGCTCATTTATAAACCTCAGCACAACTGAAATCCTGATTTATACTGTAATTTTTTTTTTCATTTAGCATGTAGTATTAGCCTATCATTATGGAAGCTATCTTTCTGTTAAGCATTTATTTAAGAAGAAAAAAATCCCCCAAAATCATATATTTACAATGTAGAATCAGTTTATAAAATTGGTGTGCAAAGTATGAATTGTAAAAGGGTAACACTATTTATTTAGAAACAAGCTACCTCTACGTTTATACTTACTCTTGATATAAACTGGAGATGCGTACTATTTAAAAAATAACACTTTTTAAATAGTAAAATATACAAGAGATTCCTGAGCATAACAAAAATATCTTGAAAATATGTGGCCATTTGAAGTATAAAATAGCAAGTGTTAAAGAATAGCATGATTGTAAAACTACCGTCTGAAGAAGGCTTATAAACAGTACAAAATCGCCTGCCTTTTCCGAGTGCATAATTATATATTAGTGCAAACAAAGGCAGCTCGACGTTTAATGGCTACAAGTCTCCGAGATTTGCAGAGGTGCGTAACACGTGAAACTTCTTCAGGGTCATGCGGACCGAGCCCAGCTCCCGGTTAATCCTCTCCAGGCGATCTTCCAAGGCCTCCTGCGGGGAAATTCAGGAAGGGAGAGAGCAAAACAAGCTGAGTTAGGATTCCCCACCGGTTCTGTAATCATCTCCACCCTGACCTGTCCCTTCGCAAAGTGCCGGGAGGGAGGCCGTCTGGTCCAGGACGCCCCACGGCGACCCTCTGGACCATGGATCTGACCTCTGCCCTATCTTGTGCCATTCTCATCATCTCTGATGAGCCCAATGTTACAGGCACCGTGTCAATCCATCTTGCGGACTTTAGCCAAGCAGGGAGAAGAAATGTTAGCATACTTATTCGGTCTTCTACACAAGTCTGTTGTTTAAGACTGTTCCTTTCAAACGGAACCACGAGAATCCATTATCAACCATTCAACAGAGCTTTAAGATCTTCTCAAGATCCTGAGTTCTCCTGAGAACACAGCGCGGTGCGAAGGGCGCTGGCTTTGTGGGCTCGATCTCTGGCTTTGCAGAGCTGACAGGACGGCAAGCTGAACCCTCCGAAGAAGGGTTTTCAACATGTGAAAACTAAACAACCAAGTCAGTTTCTCCTGACGAAAATGTCCAAGATGAAGAGAGAGAAAAAAAGATGCTGAAGCACTCTTCCCAAAGGACAGTATCTCACAATCAATGTGGTAACCTTTACTTTTCAATATTTAGCATTACTATTCTATAAACAGGGAGCTCTGGTGGCCTAGTGGTAAGGAGGTGTGCTGCCATCCCAAAGGCACACGGTTCAAATCCACCAGCTGCTTCCCCACTGGGAGAAGGATGGGCAACCTCCCCGGTTTCATTTACTGTCTCCGAAAATTCACTGGAGGATCAGCTGTAAGTTTGTTCCAATTTAATGGTACATAAAGAGTTAATTAAATAAGCAGTACCCAAAACAGGTCATGTATTTATCATTTTAGACCATTTATTCAGTAATAAACCCAACATTGTCCTGATCTCCTAAAAAAAAAATCTTAAAAACTTTAGCTGCAAAAGGATCACATTTTCATCACAGAATGCTTAGGAGATAAATGAGAAAAATTTTAAAATTGCAATCTGAGGGAGCTCTGGTGGCCTAGTGGCAAGACACTGCACTGCAGTCCCAGAGGTACGTGGTTCAAATCCACCAGATGCTCTGCTGGAGAAGGAGGGGGCAATCTCCTCCTGTACCAGTCAGATCTGATTTGATAGTACATGTAAAAATAATAAAAAAAAATTCCTAAAAAAAAAAAATTTAAAAATAAAAAAAATGCAATCAATAATCATAGCTCCTCTTTCTCACTTTGTTGTGCATATGTCTGGGGGTTTTTTTAAACAAAAATAAATTGTAAACCCATGTTTCTGCTTCCATGATTCTGATTCAACCTGTCATGTGATAAAATATCCTTCCCCATCTCTTTAAAGCAATGTGCAACAATCCATTGTTAATACCTCCTTTAACCAAGAATCTTCCAGTAGGAATTTAAGTTACAACTAATGTGGGCTGTCACACAGAATGATACAATAAATCTCTCATATATTCTTAAATCCTACATCAAGAATTAGCCCCGTAAATTAAGCTGCTTGCATCCAAGGAAATGCAGTCTGACGACGCTGGACAGATGTCAAGCTGCACTCAGCAGACCTGTGACAGCGTCCACGTCCCCCACAGCATGCGAGACCATGCTTGCCTCATCCCGAGTACGTTTTTTTAAAAACACCTGTCAATGTGATCGCTGGGGAAAGGGGACGTCTGATGCCCGCCTACCACTGCAGACCACTCTAAATAGATCCTACAGGAAAATCTCAAACAGAGAGGGCAAAAATGGGGATGAAACTCAAAACATAAACAAGCGGCCAGTCTCTCTGCTCAAGAGACTGACGAAACCCCGAATACCAGAGCCCGTAATCGCCCTCTGGAGCTAGACCCACTCCCACCCGTGGCTCAATGCTTAACTCAACAAAAAGGCCAGCCTGGAAGATGGACAATTTCATCAGGAAGGTGGCCAGTAACATCAGAAAGGCACTCCATTCTTAGAGTAAGAACGACAGGGCTCTATCTGCCCAGGGATAACAGTGGCCAGAAGGGCAGGACAGAAGGATTAATGGAAACAGGAATCACAGAGAAAAAGTGGGAAGAGTGCAGTTACACTATTTGCACTTACGGTCCTAAAACAAGAGGTGTAGGAATGGTCGTGTGAAAAGCCAATCAGCTTTGTGAACTTTCCCTTAAATTATACACACACACGCACACACACACAAGTGATGCTTCCGCTCAGATGTGAACTGGGTAATTAATGAGTGAGGCTGAACATTTTCCTTTTGGGCCCACTACTCTTTGTTACCCCACGAGTGGTATATGAGCATCCTCGGCCCCCTTTTTCTGCTCGCTCTCTCTCCTTAATGGAATCCACAAGCTCTGAGGTCTAGGAACAGCACCTAGTGCCCTGGAACCCGTATTTTAAGAGTCAAAATCAACTTTCATTATTATCTAAAAACATAGTAAGCTAAATGGTTCAGATAGCTTCAGAAACAAGGTATCAGCGGGTTTTTTCCGATGCGTTCCCAGTAAACTATTTTAGGAAGAGCTTCCTGAATTAATTCAGCCTTTTACGTTACTAAATATAAACCTTTCGGAAAAAACAGAAACAGAAACAAAACTTAAAACCTGAGAGGGGGAAAAAAACCCAGTTGGGTATCTGGCCCCTAGAAAATGACCTTTGCTCTTTTCTTTGTGGTTTTACATTTTTTTCTGGGATCACAGATCAAGCTGTGAATGGGCTTCTCCTTCATCAAAACATTAGAGACACAGGGTTACGTTTAAAATATTTCAAAAGAGTAAATTTAAACGGTCACATGTTCCTCATATTTTCATTCTCTTTGAAAAGCAATGGAAAGAGAGAGGTCTACTCCCTAAACCAGGAGACCAGGAGTAGAACATGTCCTTGGGACTGGGAATCTCTATGCTGAGAACTCCCTAGACCCAGGGCAAGACTGATGACGGGACATTTCTCAAGAGCTGACAGATAAAACAAGCTTTCCCTGGTGGTGGTGCCCTAAATTGTAAGACTTCTAGTCTCCTACATTGAGGGGGAAAACCAAGTAAGTTTGTTTGTTTTAAAAAAAAAAAAAAGAAAACACCTAAAAGACATGGACCCAGGTGCCCGTACCCGTACCCACACCACTGCCTGCTCAACACCAGAGCAGTCTCAATCTCTCTACTTCACCTCCACGGGGATTCCAGCTACAAAGTACAACCCTGTTACATCCTAACTGAAGGAAAAGGGACTCGGAAGCAAATTACAGAGGATCCAAAGGCCAAGGTTTGCCCGACAGCAAGAATGAAGAGGAAGAAAGGGCAGAAAATCTGGATGAAAGGACGTGGGGAACCCAGTGAGGAAGCAGGCAGAGTGCTGACTTGCAGGGCATACAATCAATGTCCTTGGTGGAAACTTTCATCTAAAGCACAATGAGAAAATTTAAAGAAATTGAAAAAAAGAAATTCCAGATTTGGAGGAGAAATAAATGAACACAAGACAAGAGCTTTAATGGGAGAACACTGAATGTAAAAATCTGCTCAAAAGTTTATTGCTGTTTGATGCCAAGTTCATAGCTTCCAAACATAATGGCACAAACACATCCTAGGACTGAAGGTTTAAGCAGCTTTTATCCCTGAAAGTTCACATGCTGCTATAAACACACCACCACCACTGGCGCTTGGCGTGAAGGCTAACGGTCTCAACTGGTCGTTCCATATGTCTACACTCGCCCATCGTAAGGTCACTGTGATCAATGGGGCCCCAGAGGAGACCCACACTGCCACAGCAGTGTCAGGGGGAGGCTTGTACCTGGTTTAGTCTCGTCTGCAAAGTGATCCGCCCTCCGGCAGAAGGCATTCGGCTGAGCGCTGCCTCGATCTGTGAATGTGAGAGAGGCATAAGGAAAAGTGAACATTTTACAAAGTTCACAGGTGAACACCATGTGGAGAAATGTGTCAGCCCAGCAGCTCCTTGTCCATGCCATCTTCGTTTACTTGCCCCTTGGGGGCATTTCCAAGCCCGATGTCCTGTAACCTCACCCTGGGGGTTCACAGAAGGCCCCCTGTACCAGGCCCAGGGCAGCACACCTTTACTGCATTTGGCAGACCCTGCGCTCTGTCTGCGCTGAAGGACTGTGGCAAGCCAACATCGAGCTAGTCCACCAGAGCCATATGTCCAACAGCACTCGCCTCTCTATGCCCATCAGGATGGTTCCAGAGCACTGGCTGCATGCACCACAATGTCAACATAATTTCACAGGGACTGAAAAACGGAAAAGACCCAAATCCACGTCACATGTTCCATCCCAGTATCCCCTCCCGAGCAGCGGTCTGCAGTCAGACCCACTGCCCCACTCGGAGGTCTCCCCGCGACTCCCTCCTGACCCCTCCTCAGACAGACACACGCATGAACGTCCAGGAAAAGGGTCACGTTCAACGTCTGTTACCTGGTCTTTTTCTTTCGTGAGCTCGTCAAAGAAGCGCTCCGTTTCGGCCAGGGTCCGAATCTTTGCGGTGTACTCGAAGCTGCTGGCCTGAGGCTGGCCGGGAGCCGGCGCGCTGGGCTCGGAGGCCAGCGGTCCGCTCTCCTCCCAGGCCAGGCGGGTGGGCACCTGCTTCACCCCGTTCGGAGATGATTCGGGACAAGAGCTCTGATGCACGTGGTTGTCAGAGGCGGCCTTTTTTGGAATTCTGTCTTCTGTCAGAGAGGAACAAAATTTCTTCTCCTTATCAGTTTTTCAAAGAGGTCACATACACATGAAACCCATGACGCCGCCTGCCTTTCTGGAAGTGGTCACCACCGGGCCAATGAAAGCCATGATGAGAGACAACCCCCTCTCCCCCCCGGCCAGCCTTTCAGGGCTTTTTCTCCAATGAGCTCTGAGAGCTCTGTCCTGGCCTATGACCGCCACAGCTTCCTTACAAGGAATGTGGCACACACAAAAAGGGACCAGAAAGTGCTGCTACACACACCACTGCCACAGAGTCCACCTCTGCGGGCCCGGCCCCAGGGTTTCACTCTGCTCCCTTCTAACTGTGTTCTGAACCGACAGAGGAGGAGAGATTACCTAGGGCCCGGGCGGCAGATAAAGCAAAGACATGGCTTCCATTATTCACAGAGATGTGAGAGAGGAAGAACAGAACAGGGTGGGGTCCTGGAAAGCCAACATGAATGTGCCCTGTACCTCAGTTTCCCCAGTTCAAAGAAAATCATAACGCTGGCACAACAAGACACAGCGTCACAAGTGCTTATGTCCAGAGGTCTTGGAGTGGAAAATACGTGAGTGCAGAAGTTAAACGATTTAAAACTCTGGGTGACGAGAGGAGAACAGCAGAGCCCCACAAAACGAATGACTCAACCCATTATTAACAACTTCAGAGGGAAAAGATACCTTCTGAGTCATCGAGAGGAAGAAACTGGAGCTGTTTTCTTGGATTGGGATGTTGTAACGTAGACACAGGAACAGTATCTAAATCATCCAAAAGTATATCAAATCTATTGAATGAAGCAAGTTACTTGTGAGAAAAAAAAAAGTTAACTGATTTTATTTTTTTCCCTATTTTCACTAGAGAGAGGAGCTGGTATTCAGCTCACACATTTACTGATTCTCTTACCAAAGAAAATTAGTCATACATTAGCTTTACGTACACCTGAAAAAGTCCCACTAAGCCATGTACCATCTCCACCGATCTTTACAACAACCTTGTGAAAATCAACCAAACCAGCTGCCGTCCAGTCCCTTCCACTGGACTTCTGACGCTAGAAATCTTAACAGCAGGAGGCTGGTGGATTCAAACTGCCGACCTTTCATTAAGCAGCCCAATTCGTTAATACACTATGCCACGGGGGCTCCCCCATACTATAGGGAAGAAACAGAGGCTCAAGGAACTTCTCTCTTCTGCCCATGAGTAAGGGGGCTGGGTCTACTCTCAGGCCTTTGCTGTGACAGTCAGTGATCTGCCCAGATTAAACACAGCGCTGGCCACGCGGCAGAGGCAGGACAACCTTCCCCGGCACACAGACCAGCTGCACCAGGGCAGCCTCGCTCGTGTACAAATGGCTTACAAGTTTCTCATCCCTGGGGACACAGAGAACTTGGACCCCACAGCCGCAGAAGGGGCGCTCAGGTGGCCGTGGTCATCTGGCAGCAGCAGTTCGATTCTTTCCAAGCATTTGCACTTTCTGATTTTTAGAAAGACATTCTTTAAGATGATTTCAATCCACGGGGTTCCCAATCACAACTTAAACATGAGTGACTGCTCCAGGCTTAAGCTGACCCGTGTAAGCCAACGCGCTGACATGCACCTCGCTGCGTGCGGGGGCGTGAACTCACCGGGTGGGGCTATGCTCGTGTCTGGTAAGGAGGTGGCTGAATCCGGGGGACAGGTTCTCCTTGGGAGAGCGCTTTGGACTATAAGCCACAGTCACTGGGGTTAACATGATCTCTCGTTTTGCTAGGAAAGAAAAGGAAAGAATGGACTTTTTCTTCCACGCCATGTGTTACCACTGGTAGAACAGTTTCTTTTCCTGAACTTGAAAAGTGCAGAAAATACTTTCATTACCTTTTTCTTTTTAAAGGCAGTATAGAAAACGACATTAACAGTAATCCTAACATGTGGAATTAAGGCCTGTTAACACTTCATTATCACCAGGCTGTAGTTGCTGCGCTCAGACTCAGAACTGGTTTTTCAGGATTTTAGAAGTGGACTGGAAATGAGGTGAAGACACCCGTGTGACGAGGAACATTCCTCCTCCCGGGCCACCACGGATCTCCTCACGGCTGTGACCAACGAGCAAAGGAACAAGGCGGCAAATGGCCAAGGGACCTTCCAACAGACAAGGAGCCGCTTCTCGGGGAGCAGCGTCAAGACGCCCGCCAACGAGTGGCGACCTGGCTCTATGGGCGAACGGCCCGGAGCCGTGGCCGTTCCTGGACACAGAACAAGAGCCTCACTTGAATAAAGCGAGGACCAATTCCACTGTCACCACAGCGGCGGCACGTGCACTCGGTTAATGGAATACGGCGTGCTGAGGGGCTTTGGACTGGGAGCCCCCACTACAGCTAATCAGAAAATCAAGCAAACCTACTGCTATCAAGTTAGTTCTGATTTCTGGGGACCGTCCCTCCCGCTTCCTAGACTGTAATTCTTTATGGGCACAAACTTCCCATCTTTCTCCTGAAGAGCAACTGGGGGATCTGAACCGCTGACCTTACAGTTAGCAGCTCAGTACATATCACACTGCACCAAAAGGGCTCCCCCAGCTTTCTCCCATTGATAAACGGGAAATGGTCACACACGCCAGGTCACACCATGGCCACGCACTCTGAGCCCACGATCGAGACCGCTGACTCTTACTTGGCGTGTTTGGCTTCCGGTTGGAAGGTGGTAAAGAGGACGATCTCTGAGAGGAAGAATTAAACCGCTTCTGTCTCTGCTGGGCACTTTTCTCCAAGGCTCGGCTGGCACCTGCCGGAGTCTCTGTCGGCTGGGAGCCCCCTAATTCTACAAGAGAAGGAAGCAAACAGGATGGTCACCCAGGCAGCTCTGCCCGCCGAGAGCCGGTCACAGTGCGAAGCTGCTCGCTCGGCTCCTGTCCAACCTCCTGGATCCCTTGGGGGCCAAGGTTACTGCCAGTGTTCACATTAAAATGAAGGAGAAAAACCGCACATGAAGGAAAAGCTGGGGGCATGTAATTAGTTTTTTCTGGTTCAGCGTTCACAATCCACAGTCAAGGTGATGTTCAAGAGTCTATTTTTAGAAAGCAGGCTCCTGATTTATTTACGAGGCAGTACTGCTGTGGAGAGGCACGCCACCCAAGCGGTGGTGACGTGGTCCTCAGTCAAGGGGGGTGCCCAGAAGCGGAGGAGAGGAGAAAGCACCACCGAGCGGAGGCCAGGCTCCCAGACCTTCCCGGAGAGGGAGGCGAGAGTGGGTTTATCAAGCCCCACTTAACGAGCCCCAAGCACCTTTCTGACATCTGCTGTGTGTATCTAAGACAAACGGATTAGAAATCATTCCCACTCCCCAAGTAAACCCTTAGTCTTGAGAGCAGAACATTCTATCTGCTGCATCTGAAAGGGACATGCTAGGCCAGGGCTAAGAAATAATTAACTAGAAAACCCACAGTCTAGGAAATGGAGCTGATGTGGCACCATCACAAATTAAACTTTTTCTTTCACTACCCAAGGAATGTAAACTGAAGGAAGGTGATATGTACACACTCAGAACAATCAGTTACACACGATCAAAGGGATCGCACTGCCCAGAGATAAAGGTGGGAAGGGACCGGATGAACGGAGACAGTAAACACTCGGAAGAAATGGGGAAAGTGCTGTTACAGGGTGCGGACTGTAATTCACCCCATAAAACAAAAGGTGCAGGCATGGTTGACGGAAAAGCCACCTTGCTCTGTAAACTTTCACCCAAATCACAAAAGCTTTTAAAAAAGAAAAAAACAAATAAAAATCCAGCCTACAAAAGCTTAATAAAGAAGGTAACATGTCTGGGAAAGATGTATCTAGCAACGGAAGGGGAAGAAATACTCACTATTGGAGACATCCTGTTTGTCTGTCTGTGTGCCCCAGGTTTTAAGTATCTTTTCCTCATCGAGTTCCTTTAAAGCCTTTATGATGGGTGAGTCCGGAGTCTCTCTCTGCTTTGCCATCAGGAAGCTTGCGGGCGACCCTCGCGGTGGGGAGTCTTTCTCCGGAGGAGAATGGCACCTTCCATAGCAATGGGGAGACACACAGTTGGCTGGGGCTGGGACGGAGCCACATGACAGAGACCCGACAGCTAGGTTCCACAGCGACTAAGAGCCCTGGGCAAGGCCAGTGCACGGAAACAGACCCTGCGTGGAGGAGCCAACCCCTATGCCAACCCACTGCCGTCAAGGGGGTGCTGACGCCCGGGGACCTCGAGGGCAGGGCCGAAGGGCCCCAGAGGGTCCCAGGGTTCTCGTCCGCACAGCTTTCCCCCTCAAAGCATCTGTTTGGTTTGAACCTTTCAGTTAGTAGCCCAAAGCTTAGACCGCTGTGCCACCAGAGATCCTGCACTGAGTAGGCAGAGGCCTCTCAATCGTGCCCACGCCCTGACACACGTGGAAATCCAGGGAACAACGTACCAGGGGGCCTAGGAGAGCCTGGGCTATTGCGCAGAGCGCAAGGACCACTGTCCTAAGTTCACACCCAGACGCAGGGGCCCTCAGCACCCAGAACACAGGCTGTAGGGACACAATACCCTCCAAGTGTCAGCTTTTCAAAGGGAAATAAAAGTCAGGTCCCCAAAAAGGAAGGCATTGAGAGAAATAAAGGGCGGCCCTGCCCTCCTCCATCCTCGGCCGAGGTGACTGAGGGATATGCTAGACAAATGGAGTCTCTGGTGTGGACCGCTGCTGAAGGATACTGCACATGCCGTCAACTGCCGGACAAGACAGAGTGGTCTCGGAAGAAGCCAGAGTGCTCCTCGGAAGTGAGGAGTCACGAGACTCTAGGATCAGTCCCTGCAGAAGGATCTCATGCTTGGCAAAGTGAAGGGTCAGCAAAAAAAAAAAAAAGAGAAAGACCCTTCACGAGACGGGCCCACACAGCGGCTCCCACAACAGACGCAAAGCCGGCAAGGACGGGGAGCACGGGCAAGACCTCACTGTACGTAGGAAGCCCGCGGTGGCATCGCACGACGAGGGAAAGAGGGAAAGCCGGCGGCGGGTGGTCCCGCCGTCTTACCCGGGAGCACAGGCTTCCTCGCGCTGGCCGCCGTGGCGCTCCTGGACGTCCAGCGGCTGGCCCGTGAAGATGGAGTACTCGGCGCCCGGCAGCAGCCACTTGCGTCTGCTCACGTCCGACGTCGCGAGCGAGCTGTCAGGAGGGAGAGCGTGAGGGGTGATGAGGGAGGAGGAGGAGGAGGCTGGCCTTCTCTCGAGATCAAACACACATGCAAAACCACCCGCTTTGTAACCTGTCACTGCAAATAATATCCACATCAACAAACGAATGGATAGAGGAGCTGTGGTATACAGTCACACAATGGAATACTACGCTGCTCTGAAAAACAAGGAACTCATGCAATAATATGCAAAATGGGTAACCCTGGAGGACACTATGCTGAGTGAAATATCTCAGTCACAAAAGGACAAATATTGCAGAGGGCCACTGTTGTAAAATGGGACTGACATTGGGGTTGGGGGGAGACTGAGAAAGTGGGGACAAATAATGTATACCACATTGAAACAGATGAGGGAGAGAACTGTTTAAAAGGGATATATGATTAGGTATTATTGTCATGACAGGAGTCCAGAAGGAAGGCTCCACAGTGGAGTGGACTTGGGGGGAGGGATTGTATAACAATGAAAGAAGTTTTCTTTTACTTTTCAAAGAGAAGAGCGAACTGGGAGGGAGGGGTGGACAGGGAGAAAAGTACACTGACGAATGAATGGAAACCCTAAGTTTCTATAAACTTTCATTAAAATTAATAAAAAATAATAATATTCAAAGCCCCACCCAGTGCTGCCTGGTCAATGCCAACTCACAGGAAGCCCTCGGGCCAAGGCACAACTGCCCACAGGTGGCCAAGGTGATAACCTTTACAGAAGTGGTTCCCTCACCCTCCTCCTATGGGGGGGGCACAAGCCTCCAACCTTCCAGTCAGCAGCTAAAGGCTTTAATCACCACACCACCATGGCTCCCTTTACATACTGACCCAGTAATTGTAAAATACAGCATTCTCGACTTTGGATGTGTGAATTCTACTTTGTGATTTTGAGATCCAATAGAGTGTTCTAGAACTTTCCATTCCTGCTACGAGCTAGCCTCTCCTCCTCAGGGTACACCACCACTGGGGTGGTGTGGGGAGGGGGAGGGGTGTGTCTGTGCCTGTGTCCCTATCTCTCTCTCTAACGGCACCACTACACACCACCTCTGAGACGTAACACCAACCCAACGTGACACAACCCAGTGATGACGTCACAGTTTAACATACTCCTTTCCTGATAACATCATAAAGACCTTATCTACTCATGATACTTTTACACAGGACAATAATAATGAAAGCCAGAAATACTAGGAAGAAAACTATTTTAAGTAAGACAACCTGTCTCATTTTCTCAGATGAAAGCAAAATTAGGGGCCTTTTGCAAATCAGCAGACCTGGTGTATTACACGTGGGACCGTTAATCAAAAGATCAACAGTCTGAATCCACCAACTGATTCACAGGACAAAGACTGGCGGTCTCCTCCTGTAACAACGTACAGCTTCAGAAACCTGAGAGAGTCATCGGGAGTCAGAATCCACGCAACAAACAATGAAAGAATCTTTTTAAAGAGGAAAGCAAACTGGGGTGGGGCGGCGGTGGCGGACAGGGAGGAAAATGTGCAACAATGAATGGAAATGCAAGTTTTCTGCAAACTTTCGTTAAAATATCAAGAATTTTTTTTTTTAAAAAAAAAAGAACAAACGCAACAGCATTGAGTTTGTTTTACAGCAAAGCTAATTCTGGAAAAAAAATCCCCAAAGGAAAAAAACTAAAGAAAAACCCACACAAGTAACTAATACCCATCATCACAGACCTTCCCGTTCTGTAGAAAGAAAGAAGAAAAAAAAAATCTGTAATTTAAAAGGCCTCTGCAGCTGTTCTAGCCCAAGGTCCTTGATTTTTGCGTAAAAGAAAACAACTCCCACACAAACAATTTGTCTAAGATCACACAGTGGAATAAAGCATAAGCGTGAAATAAGCCCCACTTAGTCCCCGTCAGTTTCACGGGTTCCTCATTTGGGAAGTCTCTGCGTGGCAGCGTTTACCATCCCTGGTAATTTTCCTGTTCACACGTCAAAGCTCCATAACGGGGAGAAAAGACCTGGAGATGCACCCCGACACAGACCACAGCCCAGGACACCCAAGGGGGCAGCTCTGCCTTGTCCTGAGGGCGGGTGTGAGTTGGGACAGACACGACGGCCCACCCCCAGCCCAGTGGAGACATCTCATTCCAACGCTCCTTGCATTTATTCAGATGAGCTAAGGGGACACCAGGGTCTCACGCTGCAGAGAATAAACGAAGTCACTTACTTGGCACGTGAGGGCCTGGTGTGAGTCTTGGAATTGTGACGAAGACTTAACATGTTCTCGTGCTCTACTTGTTTGACTTGAGCTTCGAGTTTGGAAACTGTCCTGGTTAAAAAGCAATGCGACAAGTTGAACACATCTCAACCCATTTTAAACATAACTCGTTCCCAGACTGTTTATGTAGCAGACCCTCCAGGAAGAGGGGTGAGGTGCCTGCCCAAAATCATTTCCAGAGGAAAGTGCCATCATTAAACTTTTAAACACCAAGCAAAACCAGGCAAAGTAAGTAGAACAGAAAAGACAGTTTCTGCCCCGCTCAAGCATTTCAAACACCACCCCTGAAGGAGAAGACAACATGCTCACATAATACGGCAAGAGCAAAAATGGCAGGTACACTTGAGTCTCCAGCAAAATGCAGAGGACGTGTTAAATCAAATTAACACAGGCAATCAACTAAGTTAGGATCTTAACAAGATTCATTCTATGTCTGCGGTGATAATGCACATAAAGTTTTTAAGAGGCATTTCTTTCACAAGAGAAAAAGGGGGGAGGGGGGTGGGCGGGGAGAAGGGTGCAACAATGAATGAATGGAATTCCAAAATCTCTGTAGATTTGCACTGAAATGAAAAATAAATAAATTAAAAAAGAAAAAGAGAGGGAATTGGTTTAACTTCCAACAATAATGATTAGAAAAAACTTCCTAGCATTTGAAAGACGCAAAAGCTACAGTAACTCAAATTTTAAACCAACAGACCGTTCGTCTGATTCCTGGTATGATTCTGATCCAAGTCTGCTTTCAAGTATACCAACAACAAAAAAATAACTCCTCTGGCAAATCACTGGTTTTGAGGGTCCTTCAGCACCTCTTGTTTCTTTTAACTTTAGCATCTGTCCTCGCCTCATCCTTTAGACTCAAACCATTACCTCCCCTGTGGGAAGGAAGGTGAGAGAGAGAAACTCTAAGGTTGTTCAGCTTCACAGCAGCCCAATAAAGTGGCCAGGATGGGAGGTAAATGTCTCACAGAAAGGCATGGAGTGGCAAGCTCTGGTGGCCTAGTTGCAAGACGCTGCACTGCAATCCCAGAGGTGCACGGGTCAAATCCACCAGATGCTCTGCTAGAGAAGGAGGAACAATCTCCTGTACCTGTCAGATCTGATTTGACGGTACACGCACACAAAATTAAAAAAAAGAAAAAAAAAAGAAAGGCGTGGAGTGTGCAGACGCCAGACAGCATCCTGCAGACCCTGTTCCCCACACCCCGGGCACGGGGAGCCGCTGGGTCAGGGACATTCCCTTCAACTGAAGACAGAAAGGTGTTCTCAAGACACCAGGAAATGTGCCACAGAGACAGTTTCTTTTTTAAAAAAAGGTCTTTTTTTTAATAATCTTTATTTTATTTCATTAATTTTTGTGTGTACCGTCAAATCAGATCTGACTGGTACAGGAGGAGACTGACCCTCTCTCTCCAGCAGAGCATCTGGTGGATTTGAACTGCACACCTCTGGGATTGCAGTACAGCTTCTTGCCACTAGGCCACCAGAGCTCCCTGAGACAGTTTCTGAGTCTCCCCCTCAATGGTCTGTTTTGTTCAAGTAGATAAAATCATTAACAGAATCGCTGAACAAGGTCTTTAGGAAAGTGGACGACCACAAAGATGCCTCAGTGCTCCTGTCTTTTGCAAGGCAAAAAAGAGTTCACTGAATGAAACTGTTTCTGCAAGACTGCTCCAGTCCACAGTTAATGTCATCTGGATTCTACCAAGGTCGAAGAGCAGCCAATACCTGAGGACATACCCATCCATCTGAGGCCTAACCACCAGGAATACAGGCTCCAATAGTTTACAAATCCTCTCTGGCTACGTTCAAATGAGCTTCCTGGTCAGGGAGAGATTAAGATACCTCACACCCTGTGCGCCTCCCCAGTTTAAACAAACAAAAAACTGCTAGTGGCAAATGAGGACTTGCAGACAGGAAGCAGAAACTGTCCTCTAGGTGTTCTAACAGGTGGCATTTTCCCGGCGGCCACCTGAGAGTCTTGCTCACCACACCACTGAATCAAGCAGCAAAACTCAAGAAGGGAAACTAAGGATGAGGGCACCATCAACTGCTTTGCACGGCCTTGTCTGAGACAGCTCGTCTGTTAGGACCTCGATATGTGACAAACACCTCTATGTGAGTCTCGATCATAACTGTCATGTTATATATTGGTATATAAAAGCCATTGTATGTATCTCTGTGTGCATGTTGTTGCGTGTCACTGAGTGAGAAGCAACTCATAGCTGACCCTCCAGCAGGTTTTCAGAGGCAGGAGAATGCCCATCCTCCCACAAAGCAGCTGGCGGATTCGAACCGCATGCCTTTGGGACTGCAGTGGAGCTTCTTAGCACAAGGCCACCAGAGCTCTGTATTTTGTGTGTGTGTGTGTAAATATAAAATAAAAATGGAAATAATAAAAAGATTAAAATTGATTAGAAATCCTTAAGAAAAACTGTTTCTCTCACATTCCAGACAGACCCACATTTAAGTGCAGAAAGACTCTCTAGAATATTTTCTTCTTATTAAGACAATATATTTTACCTTTTCAAATCAGAAATCTGAGTCTGTGCATCAAGCAATTTGTTCTCAGTTGTATTTAGCGTATCCTATGAAAATAAAGGGGGAGAAATCAGGTAACTAAAGAGAAATAGTTAGATGGGTATTCTTTATATTTCCAAATGCATTTATAAAAAAATCTGAGGCAGCACCAGAAAGCTAGACAGAAAACTGAGCAGGTACTCAGGAGGTAAGGCATCAAGCCACCCACAGATCTACCAGAGAGAATTCAAGGTGGAAAAGAGAAGAGTCAGATGTTGGCCTTCGCGAACCGCAGCCTGTCAGTCCCTGAGCAATAGATACATCCCAATGCTTTCCTCAGTCAGCATAAGAGGAGACCTAGTAACCACAAGCCTGGCTGAAACACAACCCTCAGGAGAATGGTTAAAGACGAAGGAGGAAAACACACACACACACACACACACACACACACACACACACACAAACAAACCCCAAACTAAAAACCTCTGCAATAATGAGATCTCATATATAATTCAAATGACTCCTGAAACCCCAAAACGCTTGGCCGCCTCTCTGTGAAGGCCTGGCCACCAACCCTGAATAACCGCAGCCTGCATTTTAGGGAAGATAATTACTCGTCCCACTTAGAGGTTATGAAGAGCTCTCACTGCATTCAAGCATGCAGTCCCCACACAGGGCTTTAATTAAGAGCTCAGACCCTGTAAACCCAATAAACACAAACCAAAAAAAGCTTCATGAAAGAGCAACGCTTTGAAAAGCAAGCTTATTTAAATAGGAGTACACAATGATTTGCGTCTGGATGGCACCTTAGACCCAACTAAACAATCTCCTCTCAACTAAGTCATCTCAAAAGCAGCAGCGATTCAACAAGTATTTGCGAGAGGAATTAATGACTTCGACACATGTGCATGTTAAACAGGGCAAGAATTTTTCAGTAGGGGTGCTCAGCAGCCCCAAACCAAACCCACAGCTGTGGACTCCCTTCCAAATCCCAGCAGCCTGCGAAGACGGAGCACGAATGCCCTGCGGTGTTTCAGAAGCCAAGCTCTTTAACCGCGGCATCACCACAAGGGCTCTTCTGGACACAGAGCAGTTAAGTGAATGGTCTGGTCCCAAGAGCCACAGGAGGAGGAGAAAAGGCCCAGCCCACTGGCCCTGCCTCAGGGCTTCTGCCTCACCGTGAAATTCAGAACACAAGCAATGAACCGTTACCTTGACTCTCTCGTGCTCTTTTCCAAGGGATTCGTACTCTCCTAAAAGCTGCATGGGAAAAAATGAAGAATTGCACATCAGTAGCAAACATTATAGGACGCGCTGGTGGCCTTGTGGTTAGAAACTGCGCTGCAATCCTAAAGGCACGCAGTTCAAACCCGTCAGCTGCTCTGCAGAAGGCTGGGCAATCTCCTCCCATGCAGTTCACTCTCTGAAAACCTGCTGTAGGGTCAGCTATGGGTTGGTTCTGACACGACAGCACACAACCACCAACACTAAACATCAACTGAGGAAGAGTCCACAAATCACCACCCATGTGCACCCAAAACGCAGGTGTCACAGAGGGCAGAGAAAAGGCAACAAACCGTCCCAAGGGGAAGGGCCCTACTAGAGAGAGGTGACCACGGCTGATGGTAAGTCTCGCTGGTGAACCGGAACCTGGGCTAGAAGTGGGGTGTGGGGGCTCACACAGGGGGCACCACTGAGATCCCTGGAGTGAGGAGAGAAGAAAAGGGTGGGGTCTCGCTATTAACCCAGAATTATCCAGAGACAGAGGAGAACTTGCCCTTGGGTGTCCGAGGCTGCAAACCTTCAGAGCAGGCTGCCACCTCTTACTCCCATGGTGCGTCCAAATCGCCAAGGTTTTGGGTAACACCCTATGCACTTTTTTTTTTTATTTTTACGTGTACCGTCAAATCAGATCTGACTGGTACAGGAGGAGATTGCCCCCTCCTTCTCCAGCAGAACATCTGGTGGATTTGAACTGTGTACCTCTGGGATTGCAGTGCAGTGTCTTGCCACTAGGCCACCAGAGCTCCCTTAGCCTATGCACTTTTAACCGCTGTGCCATGCTGTTGTTGAAGAGCCAGACGCTGTCCCCATCCAAAACAGCAGAGGACTGTCCAGCCGGGATAAATGACAGAGGAGGAGGGGGAAGGATTAAGGATGGACCACGCATGCTGTGTGAACACAAGTGTGCATGGGCACCAGCTTCACACCCTTCCTTCCCCCACTCTGACCAGAGCCTGGCTAGAGGGCCCAGGCAAGACGCTGGATGACTTTTCTTTAGGAAAACAGTCATTCCAGAAAAACCTACGTGTAGTGAATAAACCTGATAGCCTTCCCACCCCCACTCCACCATCTACAGAAGGATTGCATCTTCCTGTTAGCCGAGATGTGCCCAGCGATGCTCCATTATCCTGCACGTTCCTCCACTAGCCGAGATGTGCCCAGAGATGCCCTGCGATCCCATCTTCCTCTGGGAGCCAAGATGTGTCCAGTGATGTCATTTTCCTATGTCTTTTTTTCTTTTGTTTTTTGTTATCCTATAACTTATGTTCGCTGAGATGTGTCCAGCGATGCCCTGTTATACTACGTCTTCCTCCATTAGCTGAGAAGTGACCAGTGATGCCCTGTTATCCTATATCTTCCTTTGAAAAGCATTTCCTCTAACTTTTTTCTTTGCTTGCACAGAAAAACAAACAGATGTGGTGTGCACATATTCACATTTGGAAGTTCCCCAACAAGACGACGAACACATCACTCTGAGCCTCTGTCGAGAGCGAGGCCCCGCAGCGCAGCATCGGTGGTGCTAAGGTCCATCGGCACGACGCAATCCACAAAGACAACAGGCTCTACGCTACGCTGGCTAGTGGTGACTGGGGTCTCAGAAGGCGGTGCACTGCCATCCAATGGACGCCCAGGATAAAGAGAGGAGGCAAGTGACCATCCCCACCGCAGAGGACCTGGGAGTCATGTGAACCCCAGCCTGACAGCGGAAGCACCAGATGGTACCCCACTAGCACTGCCGACTTCTGGAAGGGAGCATGTTTGGGGGCCTGGAAAGAGTGGGACAAAAACGTGGGAAAAAACTCAATCCCGTAGAAAAGATCAGGCTTGCTGGTCTCACAGTGAACCCCGAGACCACGGCGCCTCGTCACCCTGCAGGCCTGGGCAGGAGCACATCCTGTCACTCAACTTTCACCTAAACAGTGTCCAGGTCTACAAGCCGATCAGTGCCCCAAGGAGGTGCTCTCTCAGAACAACCCGCCACACGAGGCCACAAAGGCAGTACGAGCCAAGGGACAAAGGTCCAAAGGCAAGAAAGGACGAGTGGCCACCAGACACGGGGAGGAGGGGACAATACTGCAGCGCTAGTCAGTGAACCCAGTGCTGAACAGAAAACGGGCTGCTCTAGAAACGATTCCCCAAACCACAGCAGAGTCAGACACGTCCGTGTGCACAGGGGCGGCACACCCTTCTCACTGCCTCACTCTAACGGTTCCTCCTGCTCAGGAACCAACATTTGGAATTTTAAAAAGAAACCCACAGGGAGCTCTGGTGGCCTCATGGCAAGAAGCTGCACTGCAATCCCAGAGGCACGCAGTTCAAATCCACCAGAAGCTCTGCTGGAGAAGGAGGGGCAATCTCTTCCTGTACCAGTCTGATCCCAATTGATGATACACACACAAAAAAGAATAAAATAATAAAAATAAAATTTAATTAAACAGCAACAACAACAACAAAAAAACCCCACATTCAGTGTAATATAGACTCAGGCAAAAAGAGACAGAAATTTGCTAATAGAAACTGATGAGGCATTGAGACCACAGCCCTCAGAGACCCTTCCATCCTGGAGAGATCCAGATTAGAACTAAAGAATGATGCAGTGTTACACAAACCCAAATTGAAAGTCAAGTTTAAATCAAAATAAAAAGGACAACACAGCTGCCCTTGAGTCTGGCCCACAGCTCTGCACTCGGCCAGAGAAACAGAGGGGACCCGAGAGGGTTCCAAGGGTGACACACTAGTGACAACCAGGCGTGGGTGTGACACCTCTCTTCTGAAACCTCTCACTTCCTGCTCTAACACCCACACCGGCTCATCAACAAGGCACGTATCTGCAGCGGGGGCAGAGCTGGGCAACCTCTGTAATGAACTTTGGCAAAGTCTTTGCAGCGTCTAGGAGTGAAGTGTCTGCACAAGCAGCGTGCCCCCCACCACGTCGCACGGTCACCACTACCCGCTACTCACGTCTTGAAACATCTTGCTCTCTTGCTTGAGTCTGGCTTCTTTCTCATCCGAGCGTTTGTAAGCGTCCTCAAAGGCTTCTTCTACGTCGTGCAGTCTGGATTTGAGCCGAGTGATGGTGCTGTCTTTTTCCTTGTTACTCGCTCTCATTTCCTCAATCCGTTCCTGCAAAATCTTGGAGGCAGTGCTGGCTGCACTGAAGCGTTCTTTTAAATCATTCTACAGGAAAGAACACAAGGAGAAGAAATTCTTTTTAAGGTGGGGGGAGAAGATGTTTCAGTAACAGCTAATAAATTATAGGCATTAAAATATGAAACAGACCCCAAAGACACCATAACTGCCACCCTAGCAGATAAACATGCACACCCATGTTTATCATGGCTTTGTTCAAAATAGCAAGGAATTAGAAACAACCTAAGTGCCCATCAGCAAACGAATGGGCAGAGAAGCTGTGGTATATTCACACAATGGAATACTACGCTGCATTAAAAAAAGGGAACTCATACAATATTATTCAGAATGGGTGACCCCGGAGGACATTATGCTGAGTGAAGTATCTCAGTCACAAAAGGACAAATACTACATGGTGCCACTATTGTAAAACAGGACTGACCTCGGGGTTAGGGGGAGACTGAGAAAGATGGGTTCAATAATGGATACTGCATTGAAACAGATGAGGGAGAGAACTGTTTAAAAGGGATATGTGATTAGGTATTTTTGTCATGACAGGAGTCCAGAGCGAAGGTTCCATAGTGGAGTGGACTTGGGGGAAGGGATTATAAAACAATGAAAGAATTTTTCATTTACTTTTCTAAGACGGGAGTGTACTGGGGGGAGGGTTGGAAGGGGAGAAAAGTGCAACAATGAATGAATGGAAACCCAAAGCCTCTGTAAATTGACATTAACATTAATAATAAATTTTTTAAAAAAAGTATGAAACAGAAGCACAAGCAGCAGATGAAGTGATGTGTGATTCTGATGCTGTAAATCCTGGGTTACATAGACCCATGGGTTGGACGAGAGACTGGAAGGGACCGTTCTCCTAGATTAGAATGGTTGTTAGGTGCCATCAAGTCCACTACTACTCACAGCAAGCCCAGAACAACAGACGCGAACCCTGCCCTGCCCTGAGTCACTGTCACAATCTCCATGTTCAAGCTCAATGTGCTGGTCACTGGTGTCAGTTCATCTTGTTGAGGCTCTTGCACTCTTTCACTGAACTTCCGTCTGCCCGTGCAGGATGTGTTTACCCAAAGCTGGCCCTGCTGACAGCACACCCAAGGCCGGTGATATGAGTTTCCTCCCCCTCGCCTCTAAGGAGCACTATGGTTGCACGCCCCTCAGGACAGACTGATTTGTTCTTTCAGCAGCCCACGGCATACTGAATGCTCTTTACCAACACCACAAGTCAAAGGCACCAATTCTTCGGTCTTCCTTAGTCACCGACCAGTGAAGCTGTAAGATGACATCAAGGACATCAATGACGAAAGCAAAAGGTCATTACAAAGACAGGAAAGGGGGAGGGGAAAAAAAGAAGAAATGGATGTCTTTTGGAATGGAAGAGAATCAGAAAACTGCACCAGAATGAAAAAGAAGCAAAAACGAGGGGAAGGGGTGTTCAAGTAGGAGAGATGAACAGAAGAGTTCCGAGGGCAGCGTGAGCAAAGTATGAAAATAAAATATGCAAAGTTAGAAAAACCAAAATGGAAGAACACGCATGCCGTTTCTCAGCTGAAAGAAGTGGAGAACAAACTCAGGCCTCGAGTTGAAACAGTGAAGGATTCTATGAGGAAAACACTCAATGACACAGAAAACATCAAGAGATGAGAAGGAAACACACAGTCACTGAGACACTCGACTATTATTATTATTATTATTATTATTATTATTATTATTATTATTATTATTATTATTATTATTATTTGTGCATGTACTGTCAAATCAGATCTGACTAGTACAGGAGGAAATTGTCCCTCCTTCTCCGGCAGAGCATCTGGTGAATTTGAACCGTGTACCTCTGGGATTGCAGTACAGCCTCTTGCCACTAGGCCACCAGAGCTCCCCTGACACTCGACTATTTCAGGAAGCAGAATGTGATCCCAAACCAACAGTCCTGAAGCCAGAGGACCAAGCTGCACTGAAGGCATCAGTGAAAACCAAGACCCCAGAAACCGATGGAAGATGTTTCAGGAAACAGGTACGTCCCTGGGCTGTAGCAGCGGAGGTGGGGGAGTGGTAAGAAGCTGCACTGCAATCCCAAAGGCATACCGTTCAGACGCAGCTACTTCCTGGGAAAACGACGCACAATCTGCTCTTTAAAAGCCTCTGGATGGAGAGTCTGTTAACAGCCTCTGAAAACCTGCGAGAGGGTCAGCTGTGAGTTGGTTCTGGCTCGATGGTACGCAACACCATCACTAAGTGTCGGGCGCTGGTTCACCAACATTATAAAAATTACAGTCCCTGACCTCATGAAGCTTTTGGTTTAGAAGATAACTGAAAAAGCAGTCAAAATGGGAAAATAGATACAACCAAACAGGCATCTTCCTCCAAAGCCTAATTTAAAAAGTTATTAAAGAAGACTAACACCTGGTGACACATGAAAACAGCGGACTTATTTCTCCATTTCCAGCGAAGCACTTTAGACACACTGTAGTCTTCAAACTGACATCATTGCTGCTTCTTATTGATGACTGCCTTTGAGTCAAGCCCGACTCATAGCGACCCTGTGAACAAAAGGCCTGAAGCCCTTCTACAACTATCGACATTTATCAAAGTTCATAGAGTTTCCAGAGGCATGTTGTTTAGAAAATGCATGCTACTCCTGCTTCCAAACCTAGGTCATTGCTTGTGGGAAGCCAAGTATTAAACTGAATGTTAAACTAAATGTTAAACCAAATGCTTACCCAGGAATTAAGGGAGGCATAAATATAAGCTGCAATTCTTCCTGAGACAGATCACAGGAACCAGGCGCCGAGGCAGATCAAACGGAGCTTTTTCAATTCTTTGACTGCATTTACAAATCCCTCCTTCCTGAGTCAAGCATAAGGTTGTCAACAGGACGAAACTAGCTTCATGTGCATAGACTTTTGTGATCTTCTCCCTAGTGATTTTCAAGAAAGTTACAGGGCGGCTAAGTTGGAGGCTTCGGTCTTCTAGCTGTTTGCCCCCTGCCTTTATGCTCTCTGTTCTTTTTCTATGTCCTGGGTGTCCCTGTCTCTTCTTTGCCCCTGGTTGACAACAATTGCTCTTCAATATCTTGGAGTGGACTCTGACAGCGGACTTGGCCAGTGTAATACGTCCTGTCTCTTGATCTCCTGACTGCTGGTACCAAGGCTGTTGATGGTGGATCTAAGCAAGATGACATCACTGACAGCTTCAATCTTTACTCCGTTTATCATGATGCTGCCTACTGGCTCAGTGGTGAGGACCTCTCTTTTACCTCTGGTTGCATGTTTATTCAACACAGAACAAGTCCTTCCAACTTTACTGAGGTGGCTGACCACGCCCACAACAAAATCTGCCTCTAAACTGGAATTCCATTGCTGACCCAGCCCAGACTCAGCTTTCCTGTTGGCACCAGGAGGCTCTGTACTCCATCCCTATCTGTCAGTCTCCCCTCAAGTCAGTCCTGTGACTCCTTTGCCTTCCAGACCCTCAGGCCATGGCCTGCCAGGCTCAGAACAGCTGCGGCCCACAGTGGTGGGCACACTGTCAGGGGCAGGTGGAGGTAACCATACAGATATGGTAGATACCCCCACTGGTAAGGCACCAGGCGAACTGTTCCTTCACACTGCCTCGTGACTTGAGACTCTGCATGGCCTTCACGATGAAAGGGTCAGCAAGCTCTCATCTGCCAATTCAGGGTGCTGGCATGTGGACATCCTTCTTGGCCACCAACACCCTCTCCTTAAAAGGAAGTTCATATACGGCAATCTGTTTCTTCCTGGGCCTCAACACTGGGACTGCAGCTGCATCCGAAGCCGGGACTGGAAAGGAAGGAGGGTGCTGACTTTTGTCTTCTTGATGCTGAGATGTAATCCATACTGAAGGCTGTGGTCCTTGATGGTCTGCAGCAGGCACTTCAAGTCCTCCTCACTTTCAGCAAACGACGCTGTGTCATCTGGATAACACAGGTTGTTAATGAGTCTTCACTGCATCCTGATGTCGCATTCCTCTTCATGGAGTCCACCTTCAGGAATCACTTGCGCAGCACACTGGATGGGTACAGGGAAAGCATACATCCCTGGTGCACAGCCTTCCTGACTATAAACCATGCAGCGCTCCCTTGCTTTGTTCGGCAATAGCTTACCGGACTAGGTGTAGATTTTGTATGAGCACAACTAAGTGTTCTGGGATTCCCATCCTTCTCCATGCTAGCCATGGCTTCTTGTGATCCATACAGTCAAATGTCCGGCAAATTTGATAACACACGTCACATAAAACCTAAATCTGCACGATTATCCATCATAACCTTACGTGGATGGGCTGGAGAATGACGACAAATGACACACCCACCGGGTGAGGGACAGATGCGGAGAATGTGTCCACCTATCCACTGACAAATACATCAACGAGCCAGGGAAGGAAAGAGACGCCAGTCCCTACCACAATGTGGCTGAAACGTAAGAACATTACAAAGGCTGGAAGAACCAGACACAAAAGGGCCAACAGCGCTGGGGCTCGCGGATGTGAGCTCTCAGGAGCAGCAAGGCCACGGGGACAGAAAGCAGATGAGTAGGTGCTGGGGGGGAGGCAAGGGAAGGGAGGGCTTGCTAATGGGCACAGGGCTTCGTGGGGGTGAGTAAGGTGCCCTCACAGTGGACGGCTGGACGGCTGCAGGATGGTCGGTGCACACACTGAAAAACGGCTGAACTCTGGGCTCAAAAGGGAAGCGGCATGACATGCAAATTACGTCTCCATTAAAAAAGCAAAACAAAGACTAAAACTATTCTAGGACACCAGCAGCATTCAAAATGTAAACTTACTTGAGAGAAAGACATCATAAAGAAGCCAGAAATGCTATCAGAAAACAGTCTCTGAAGCTCTCAGCACAAAGGGCTTTTTAACAGAAGCCACTAGAACGTTACCAAGAGTGCTCACCGCTTCCATTTCCAGGAGGTTGTTCTTGTTCTCCAGTGTTCTCACACGGCCTGTCACCTCGTTCAGGGCACTATCTAACTGGCTGCATCTAAAAACCAGAATCAAAATGAAATAGTTAAAAGATGCGAAAAACCTCTTCCCTTTAAAAATATCAACGTAAATCTTAACTGATTCTCCCACAGACAACAAATAAGTCCTCCAAGGTTCGTGAAGACTCAGGATGCCACTGTAGTAAAATACAGCTCAGTGAAGGGATATTCTAGAACTCAAGAGAAATGACAGGTTTTTAAAACAATCACGTAAAAAGATCCTGGTAAACACTAAGTACCGGAAGAAGGACGGGCAGTCTCCTCTCGTGCAATTTACTGCCTCTTAAAAGCTGCTGGAGGGTCAGCTACGGGTCAGTTCCAACTTAATGGCATTCAACAACAAACACTGAGTAGAGTCCTAGTGGTAAGAAGCTGCACTGTAATCTCAGAAGCATACGGTTCAAATTCCACCAGCTGCTCCACAGAAGAAAGATGGGCAATCTCCTCCCGTGTGATTTACTGCCTTTGAAAACTTGCTGGAGGGTTCTGACTTGAAGACACACACCAACAATAATAAAACACTGTTGTTGTTGTTGTTGTTGTTAAGTGCCGTCCCCCACGAACGAAAGTCCTCAACAGTTGCATGACTTTCATCCTTTCTCCAGGTTCACAGGGTTTCTGGAGGCAAGCTATTTACGGAAGTGGATGCCACTCCTGCTTCCAAGCTTGTTTTAAATCGGGAAGCACCACCAAACACTGTCTGCTATGGGTAACCATTCTCATATTTGACACATCAGTGTAACAGTGTTCATTCAGCTTCACAGCAACCACAAGTTACCTCAGTACAGCAAATAGACAGACCAGTGCTACACCACCTAGAAGACTGAACAAAAACAACGAAAAACAGGCCACAAGCGCCAGGAGCCCTCTATACCTGCCTCTCCTCAAGAAGCCAGAGGCTGCGTGCAGCTGACACTAAGTCTCCTGAGACACTAAGTGTGGCCTGACCTTTCAGTATTTTACCATTCCGGCATGCCCAAATGCTGGCCAACTCTGGGCCAGAGACCCCCAGTTCATCTGGCAAGTCCGCTTTGCCGACCCCCACTTGGGGCACAGAGAAAGCCATCAGTGCCCAGAGCCCTCTATACCTGCCTCTCCTCCAATAAAACACTAAGTTAAAAAAGTTAGAATACTATACAAGAAACAGCTTGAAAAAAAATCATACATACACCCTCTCTCTGTCCCCACACTTTTACCATTAGGCCATTAAAGGAATGCTATGCTGATAATATTTACTTGCTGATATAGGTCAGTGACAAAGATCTGATTGTTATAGAATGACTATAGCTATATTGTTATCAATTGGCAGTGTCAGGATGGATGGTGAAGAGATTGAGATTGTTCACAGCTCTAGTCTGCTTGGCTCCACAATCAACACTCTTGGCACCAGCAGCCAGGAAATTTTAAAACGTACTGCAATGGGAAAGTCTGCTCTTAGGGACCTCTCCAAAGTACTAAAGAGCAGCGGTGTGTCTCTGGAGACTAAGGTGCGTCTGGTACAGGCCATAGTCTTTGCAATCACTTGTTATGCATCAGAGAGCTGGACAATGACCAGGGAGGATAGAAGGAGAATTGATGTTTTTGAGCTTTGGTGTTGGAGAAGAGTGCTGAGGGTGCCATGGACTGCTAAGAAAAGAGAGATTCACCCTGGAGAGGGTTAAACCGGGCTGCTCCTTGGAGGCAAGGATTCTGAGGCTTCGTCTGACATATTTTGGTCATGTTGCAAGGAGGGACCAGTCCTTGGAGAGGGATATCATGCTTGGGAGGGTGGAGGGCAGGCGCAGGAGGGGAAGGCCCTCTGGAAGATGGATTGATTTGGTGACTGGGGCAATCGGGATGAGTGTGTTGGAGACAGTGAGATTGGCACAGGACAGAGCAGAGTTTAGGGCTGTTGTACATAGGGTCACTATGAGTCGCAAGTGACTCGACAGCACATAACAACAACAACAACAACAACTGTTATATAAATAACTATCTATAATTGCCTAATTGCCAGCTTGCATTGCATAACTTCCAAACAGAGTCAGGTCCCAGCCAGGTTGGCATGTAATTGGAACCCTGTCAGCCAGCACTACCCTAACCCACAGCACTTGTCACTGCCAGATGCATGTAACTGTGCAAAAGAACTGAACCAGGATTGTTCACCGCTGTCCTGAGTATGCAACATCAGACAACATGGTAACCGTCAAGTGAGGAGTTGGGAGTATGTATATATCCTTGCAGGGCCATAAAGATCTTTAGAAATGTGCAAAAAAATAACTCCGGGATCCGGGACCTACAGGCTCCGGCAGAATTCTTCAGTATTGTTTCAATCAGCATGGATACGCTCTTCTCAAGGAGCTCTGGTGGTAGGGCACATGGTATGTTGCGCTGCTAACTCCAAGTCTGGCGGTTCAAATCCGCCAGCAACTTCCAAAAGCAAGGTGAGCCATTTTTTCCCGACAAGATCAACAACAGGGTTGGAAACCTGCTGGTGGGTAAGCGGGAGTGGGCGTCAGCCTGAGGCCTGTGGACTGGTGGTGTGGCTGTGCGTGCTCTTCTTACAGTGAAAGACGTCACGTCAGTAACCTCAGGACCTCAAAACAACGAACTACAAGAATTCACGTTAATACATGTCAACGTTTTGACTCCGTGTTCAATGGCGCGTCTTTATTTAATGTACCAGGCTCCGTGTCAACTTCCCGGTATCCTCACCATCGGTGAGGTAGGATTCCTATCGCTCCCATTTTACAGACGGGAAAGCAGAGGCAGGGATGATATACATTCCTCGCTGCCTGTCACCCAGGTTACGGGCCGTGAGGCTGGCGTGCGGAGCCAGGCGCGCTGGCTGCAGAGTTCATGCTACTAAACACTATGCACAAAGGCTTCTTGGAAGATTAAAAGCTGATGAAATCAAACACTAAGAAAACTGTCCTTGGGAGAAAGCTCCCCCATAGTCAGGTTTCTGTATCTCTGTGTTTTATTACTTTCACAGTTCCTGATATGCTGGATATCACGTCCCGAGTTGCAACTGTGTGACTTAACGGCATGATATCACAGCCGGCCACCACAGCAGCGTCCTTGAGTTCATTACGGTCCCAGCGGGATTCCTCACTTAAGCCGTTTTAAGTGAAAGAAGACAAAAAGACCAACAAAAGTCGCGGGATGTGCCGACAGTGCAGCACTGGGTTTCGTCCTAAAGCAACCGTCTCTCCGGTTCTACAGGACGGCTACTTTCCACGCTCTTTCTGCTGTCCACACGGCAGGCGCTGCAGCTCAGCTCCAGGCCACGGTGATGAAGTCAGCATCGCAGCCAAGGCAGCCGCCCTGACATTCCGCTTTCCCAGGACACGTGGGAGGCGGGACAGGACACAGGTCACATCTGCTGTCCACTGGTCACCATGAGTCACAGTCACCTCGAAGGCACCGAACAACCACAGTGCAGACGTTAACACCCGACTGCAGTCCGGAGTACAGAAGCAAGAGGAGAAAGTGTGCAACACGGTGAGAAGGACCAAAACGGGCCGCAGGGCCACCGAGTGAGCACAGGCCGCTGGAAAATGATGCCTCAGGAGAGACTGTCACAAAGCCCCGATGTGTGAAGAAAATGCAAAAGAAAGCAAAGGGCGGCCAAGATGTGGCCTAGGCCCTGGAACCCAGATCCTTCTGGGGAAGGGGAAAATGTCTAACGTGTTGCTATCGGTCTGCCTGCTGTTACCACATTTACTGGCATCCCTCCGTGAAGTTATCAGCGACTGTCAGAGCGCAGTCCTTATAAACCCAGACTGTCCATCTGCCACCTACACTGTGACCCCGGGCTATGTGCTCGAGCTAGGTCAAGCCACTTTAACTGACTGATCATTCTCTGGCTGCCAGCGCTTCATGACCGTGATCTGTCTTTACCCCAGCTGGTTCAAAACAGTCCAGCAACTGCCCTGTCCACCTAGCTGCTGCTGCCCCTGCTGGTCAGAACAGTCAAGCAGCCCAGGCCCTCAGGATGCTGGCTAATAGCCCTGGGGTGCAGATGGCTCTGGGGTGCTGGCTGACGGCCCTGGGGTGCTGACTGATGGCCCCTGGGGTGCTGGCTGATGGCCCTGGGGTGGTGGGTGATGCCTCAGGGTGGAAGCTGACGGCCCTCAGGGTGCTGGCTGATAGCCCTGGGGTGGAGATGACTCTGGGGTGCTGCTGGCTGACGGCCCTGGGGTGCTGACTGATGGCCCTGATGGCCCTGGGGTGGTGGGTGATGCCTCAGGGTGGAGGCTGACGGCCCTGAGGTGCTGGCTGATGGCCCTGGGGTGGAGATGACTCTGGGGTGCTGGCTGACGCACCAGCGTGGCCCTTAGCTGCCGTCTCTCTGCACCAGGCTCCTGGAAGTCACAGGAAGAAAGGCTGCGGGACCCTGGAGAGGAGCACACGTGCTTTTTCCTACGTGGCTCAGAGGACCATGGGCAACAGCTCTGGCTGTCATGTCCCTTGCTCACAGCTGCTGGACTGCCTCCTTCTCCCGGCGCCCACGCCTCTGCGCCACCACCGAGAGAGGGCAGGCTGGAAGCTGCAGAAACACACAGTCGCACAAAGGCTCTGTGAGGCCCCAGCGAGCCACAGCCACGCGCCTGAAGACTGACTCGTGTGCAAGGCTGACGGTGAAGTCACCAAGCACAAGGCTGGACATCCGCTCCCTCGTGGTCACTTTCTAAGGGGCTGGAGCTTTTGCTTGTTTTGTTCTGCCCTTGGAGAAGGGGTCTCTGTAGCTCTGGGACCAGCAGCTGGTTTCAGTCTGCTCAGGTATCATTTAAAGAATTTAAAGGATGGTGCTAAAACTCTGTCACCAATCTCAGCTAAAACCTCAAACGGTGTAAAGTCATCTTGGAGTCAGGACAACAGGCACTTGTTACCGGAACCTGAACTTGGTAGCCGGAAGCGACTCACGGCTGCCCCTGCTGGGGGTTTTCAGAGGCTGTGAATTACATGGGAGGAGATTCCCTATCTTTTTCCTTGGAGCAGTGGGTGGATTCGAAACCCCGGACATTGAGTTGGTAGCTCAAGCCCTTAACGCTAGGCCACCAGAGCTTAACACTGTCATTTCCATGAGGGCATTGCCAGCCACTGCGTTTCTGTGGCTTCTGGAGTGGGACAGCTGTCTCTGAAAGTTCATGAAGGCTGGACGTGAGCTATTCTAAACAGTGTGGATGTTGGAGAATCATGTCCACTGCAGCGCAGTGACCCTGCAGGACACGGGACTGTCAGGGTTTCCAGTGTCACGTCCACTGTAGCGCAGTGACCCTGCAGGACACGGGACTGACAGGGTTTCCAGTGTCATGTCCACTGCAGCCCAGTGACCGTGCAGGACACGGGACTGACAGGGTTTCCAGTGTCATGTCCACTGCAGCCCAGTGACCGTGCAGGACACGGGACTGACAGGGTTTCCAGGGCGGCACATGGTTATAAAAGCAGCCCACCACATCTTTCCTCTGCAGGATGGTCGGCAGGTTCAAACCATTGCCCTCCAGGCTTCCAGGCAGGTGCTTTACCACCTGCAAAGCTAACCCTCCTGTAAACGACACTGCCCTCATGCATTAAGTCTGCTCAACACTTTCAGTACTTTGTCCACACAGAATAAATGGCCACATGTCGCGCCCTAGAACTAGGAGTGAGGCGCCCCATCCTGTGCGTGTTTTCAGTTCCTAGGGCACGATACAGCGAGTTCTGCTGGTCCAGGGTAAGGAGCTGCACGGCCAACCCAAAGACACGGTCTGAATCCACCAGCTGCTCTGCGGGAGAAGGGCAGGCAAGCTCCTCTAGGCTGACTTGTGGCATCTGAAAACCCAGTGGAGAGTCGGCCATGAGTCAGTCCCAACTCATGGACACGTACCAACAACAGTATATCACAGGTGATTTTAAAAATAACCACTTAACACACACGTCCTATGGTGAAACGTTCAAATCTAAAACCTCTGCTTTCCCAGGGCCTGACCACCGCGGGAAAGCTGGCGAGACCCCAAGTCAACAGGTAAACTCTGATTTATACCTGTCCACAAGAATCTGGTTGCTTTTCTTCCACTCTTCAATGGCAGAAACCTCTTGGGCCTCCAGTTTCTGCTTCAAGCTCCTAATTTCCGACTCGTAATATTCGCGAAGATCGGCAATGTGTCGCGCGTGCTTTTCCTTCAGGTTCTGTCGGATCCTGCAGTGAGAGGGACAGAGGCACTGGTGGCGAGCCCACACTGTCGCCCTCCGAGAGACCAGCAGCACATGCATGCTCAGAAACCAGGCTGCAGCCACACCTCCCCACTCAGCACCCCACACCCGCAGCAAGCACCAAGTCTGGCAACTAACAAAGTTGGGCCAGTTGCTTGTTATTTTAAATGTTCGATTTCAAAAACAATGCTGGTGGCTTGGTGGTAAAGAGCTGAGCTGCCAACCCAAAGGCACAGAGTCAAACCCACAGGAGAGAGATGGGCAGCCTCTCCCTGTGTAACTGATGCCTCTAAAAACCCACCAGAGGACCAGCTACGGACTGGTGCTGATTCAGTGGTACACAACACCATCATCTTAAAGGTACTATGTCTCTGGAGAAAGACTTTGGGATTACCAAAAAGGAAAAAGAAAAAGGCAAGGTAGAATGCCATGTGCCAATAACTTTCCAAGGTGCCTTTGTTAGGGAAATGATATCCACTTGATTACTATATGACTTAGTGAAAAGCACTTTATGAAATTCTAATTTAAACATTTAAGAACCAAACACTTATTTTTTTTCTTATCCAGTATGTGCCTTTTGTATTAAGTTTGTGGCTCAGTATAAAATCTCTGAAGTGTGCAATTTGAATTTTGCACCAAAACTATTTCTTTTGAATACACCAGGATTTAAGAGGGGGAAAAAAAAGTTCTATGTCTCCTTTTATAAACTTAAGATGCTCTATATTACTGAAGCTCAACAGAAATCATTTCCCTCATTCAAACAGACATAATAGAAAAGCTAGGAACATGACAGAGCTCTTCACTGAAATACATACTTAGACAATATCACAGGGTCGTCCAAGGAAGTCAAGGAAATGCTTTCTGGGGCACTGTTGGCTGTACCTGGAAGCCGGCACTGACTGACTGAGGCTGCGGTTACCATGACAGTGCTTTCTTCCTCCACGGTGTTGACCGAGAGGTCACTGCTAGTGATGGTGTACACAGACGGAAACGTGGAGCTGCTTCTGCTTTCGCCGGGGAACGTGTGGTTTTGCCAAGAGTCCATCAGGGCACCCGGGCCAGGGGAGGGGTACTCTGGAAATCCGGACAGGCGGGGCGGGACGTGGCTGCCATGGGAAAACGAGTCGATGGCAGAGGGGCTGGACACACTGGGCTCAAGGACAGAGTCCGGGAAAAAGGACATGCGCTCGTCCAGGTGGTTGGCCAAGCCGTGTGGCGGAATCCCTGCAGTGGGCTGCCCTGGCTTCCTGTGCAATGTTGGGTCCAGAGTCAGGATCTGAGGAAGAAGACGGGGAGCCGTGAGGTCCCCCCTCTGCCCTGTCGGATGTCAAGCGAGCAGGTGCCAGGGCTCTGAGGGGGGAATGTTAGAACCCCAAATCTCGGTCCCCCTCAGCGGAACGGCCACTTTACCTCAGGCGGGTGGTTTGGAGTGGGAGCAGAGGTGAGAGTCCTCTCCGGTAAATGCTTGGGTCCTCTTTGCTTTTTATGATAAATATCCTTCAGTGATGGTCGCTTCATCTCATTACTAGTGTTAGACTGAAAAATATGAAATAAAATTATTACTTAAAAGGTATTACCAGCTAGAAAAAAAAACCCACAAAACACCACCACTATATTGATACCAAGATCGGGACTATAAAGAGATGGTGCAAGATTTTAAACACGTCTGTTCGATTTCTAACACACAACAGGGACGTCACTATCCACTGTTAGGATATCTCCAACACTCCTCACGGTTCCTAACAACACACAGGCAGGGAGAATGGCGACTCTGTGACTGAGCGGCCAGCAAGGACTTCGGAAGGGCAGAATCCTTGGCATGACCCACACCTGGAAGGAGGAGAAGGCTCTGTGACGAGTGACCAGCAGAATGGGGGACCTTCTGGCTGCTTTCATGTCATGTGACTCAAAGGGACACGTATGGGGGGCGAGGTGGAGCTCCTCAGCTAGACAGCTACAGGTGGGAGTTTTCAAGAGTTGACAGAGGGAAAGAGTTAAGAAACTCCTCGAGGCCAAGTAAGGCCCCAAGCCAATCAGTAAAGTAAGAAGCTCTGATATTGACTCATTTCCAAAGCTTGAACTCAGGGCTTTCCTGGGCTAGAAAAGTGACAAAGAAGTGGCATATGAACGCCCAGGCACCAAACACTAAAACCTCAAGCCCTAACTCCTTCCAGAAGAGACTTCTTGCACAGCGGGACCAAGGGTGTCCTTCAGCCCCCACGGGGCTGGGGGACAATCTTAACTGTTGACATTCTTGGCGGTGAGATGAGAGATTCAAACAGCTACCAAAAGGGGGCGCTCACCATACAGGGTCATTTAGCTTGCCTTTGCACTGGGCAAACCCACAGCCAAGGACCTCTCTTGTGCAAAGACCAAAGTTTATTAGGGGTTAACAGGGGCAGGGGAGAAAAGGAAAAAATACTGCTTCGGGTGCACTGAAGAGTTTCTGTTAGAGGTGACAGGAAAATGTGAAACAAATAATCATGGATGTACAACATGATGGACATAATGCCATCAAATTGTGACAGAAACACTAAAATGACAAATCTCACCTTCTCTCTCTCACACACAAACACACACATGTGCGCGTGCGGACGTAGTTGTGAATATTCAACTTACAGACATTGACTTGCCAGCCCTTTAATACAGGGTTTGGAAACAGTTTTGCTATCATCATATGGTTTTGTTTGTTTTTTAAAATTTTATGTTATTCTTTTTCTGTGTGTGTGATCGTCAAATCAGATCTGACTGGTACAGGAGGAGATTGCCCCTCCTTCCCCGGCAGAGCATCTGGTGGATTTGAACTACGTGTTTCTGGGATTGCAGTGCAGCTTCTTGCCGCTAGGCCACCAGAGCATCACCATATGTTTTTAAGCTTACAGAGTTCTGTCCCATTTCCAGGCCTTAAAAAGGTTAAAGAATATCCAAAATGTTTCTCTTAAAAAACCTTATACTTGACTTGTAAACAGGACGACTAATTGTATTGCGAACATGGAAACATATCAAAGGCATTCATTTGTTAAGTGTCAACACACTTAAAACGGATTCAATTTCCCAATCTTGTTTTGGATTTTCCTTTTTCAACACACCAAGCGGCAAAGGTCCCTTGACAAGGCTCAAAGGCCGTGGTGAGCAACGGCACACGGCCAACAGCCGGAGGAGAGTATGCAGCTGCCACTTGTCTCCCTGAAGGGACGATACACGTTGTCACCTATGCGTTTCATGACCACGTCTGGCAAAGGGCAACTGGGATGCAGACACGCCTCATCTTCTTGCATTTCACTTTATCGTGCTTTGCAGACATTGTCTTTTTTAAAAAAAAAACCAAAAAACAAGTGAAGGTCTGGGGGAACCCTGTGTTGAACAAATCTATCAGCACTATTTTTCCAACAACGTGCTTGTTTTCTGTTTCTTGTGTCCTGTTTTGGTAATTTCCACACCTTTTTTAACCACGCTATGTTTGAGGACTAAGGTGCCTCTGCTTTAGGTCACGGTCTTTCCGATCACTTGCTATGCATCTGAGAGCTGGACAACAAATAAGGATGACAGAAGAATTGATGCCTTTGAGCTGTGGTGTTGGAGAAGAGCGCTGAACAAGTCATGGATGGCCAAAGAACAAACAAGTATGTCTCGGAGAGGGTGCAGCCAGGGTGCCCTCTGGAGGCAAGGATGACGAGATTTGGGCTCACGTACTCTGGGCATGTTGCTAGGAGGGGCTGTTCCTTGGAGAGGGACGTGATGCTCGGGAAAGCGGAGGGTCAGCAGCGGAGAAGAGAAAGACCCTCAACGAGACAGATGGCACAGTGACGGCTGCAATGGGCTCTGGCACGTCAGGAGGTGTGAGGACGGCACGGGTTAGGACAGGGTTCAGATCTGCTGTTCATAGGGTCGCTCTGGGTCGTATGGGACTCGACAGCATTTCACAACCACCTGGCACAGTTAACAGACCTCCTTAGGGTATGCACATAACTTTCAGACACATTGGGAACCCAAAACGTCTGGGTGACTTGCTTTATAGCAACAACTACATTAAAAAAAAAATTGTATTATTTTATTATTGTGTGTGTGTGTGTGTGTGTGTGTGTGTGTGTGTGTGTGTATGTGTGTACCATCAAATCAGATCTGACTGGTACAGGAGGAGACTGCCCCTCCTTCTCCAGCAGAGCATCTAGTGGATTCGAACTGTGTACCCTGGGGTTGAACAACCACTTTTTGTGGTGGTCTGGGACCAAGCCCACAAATTCCCTGAGGTCTCCCTATAACTGTCACTTGCTTATAAGCAAGTCACAAAGCCATGGGAACTGGCCAGATGGCTGAGATATGGTGTAAGAAAACCCCCGGCACGACAGTGGAAGCTGGGAAACAAGCATTTAAGAATTGCGGTGCAGCTTCTTACCACTATACCTCCAGAGCTCTACACGCAGGTAAGGAAGGGCTGACAGGACATGCTGGGCAACAACGCCCCCTGGGGTCAAAGACAGGCTCACTACAGGGGCTCAAGGCCGAGGCTTCCGATTCCGGGTGAACTTCATACCAGAGCCAGTATAAAGCACAGAAACTAACCGGGAGAAGCAGATCTAAGACGAAGCTGATAAAAGCCCTGCTCAGTTAAGTCTAAATCATTCTCCTAGAAGCATGAAGGAGGGCCGAGCTCTGGTGGCCTAGGGGCAAGAAGCTGTACTGCAGTTCAAATCCACCAGATGCTCTGCTGGAGAAGGAGGAACAATCTCCTCCTGTACTAGTCATATCTGATTTGATGGTATACACAAAAAATAGTAAAATTTTAAAAATTAAAAAATAATTAAAAAAAAAAAAAGCAGCAGCATGAAGGAGGGGAGTGTCCAGGTAAGATACAAGCACCATCTCAGTCCAGCAGGTCAGTATCACATGGGAAATCCGACAAATGGCTGTCATTCTAGAGTCAACCAACACACACAGGACTTCTGTCCTAATGCTTCCAAGCAAGGAACAAGCGTGGCGAGGCCTGGCGAGGCCTTTCCAGGGAGTGGGTCTACGAAACCCTCACACTACCCCGGCACTTCCTATCTCCTCTGCTTATCGGCCTTTCTTTCATGGTTCTCTGCTAAAATAAGGATGTTGGCTTCCGTCACCCTGCTGGGCTCTGAGGTCCACAGTGCCTTGCTGTCCCTGTGCCCTACGTGCTCGGCAGGGCCCTCTCCTTGTCACATCTGTCTTGGCTATTTTCATGGGATTCCTCTGTTGTGGGTCGAACGGCATCCTCCTAAAAAGGTATGCTAACATCTTAACCCCTAGGGCCTATGAACGTGACCGCAGTTGGAAAGAAGGGCTCTGCAGGCAGAACAAAGTCAAGGTGAGGTTGTAGGGTGGGCCCTAACCCAAGGACCAGTGTCCTTATGAAAAGAGGAACGTCTAGACAGAGAGACAGACACAAGGCGAAGGCAGGTGCTTGAAGAAGAACTCAGAGATGTGAATTAACGCTGGCCCAAGGCAAGGGCACCCAGGATCACTGGCAGCTACCAGAAGCAGGAGGACAAGGACAGGGCCTCCTGGGAGAGGGGACACTGTCCACACCTTGGTTTCAGACTCTGGAACAGTGAGAAAACATGTTTCTGTGGTTCTAAGTGTCTGGGACTCATTACACAGGCCCTACAGACCAAGTGTCACCTCCCTCCAGCCAATCTTATTCTCCTCATTACTTGTTCATAATAGAGAAGATGAATACATACGCCTGTCAATTCTTCACTCTTAAAGAACAAAATATTTGATATTTCAATTGTCCACGAATCAGTCAGTGGGGAAAGTCACCGCACAGGAGAGCAAGGCCAGGTGTGGGAAAGGGGAAAAGTGAAGCTCTGAGGCCTCTGCATAGCTGACCACCTCTGACAGCGGCACAGACTGCCTCCTTCCATCTCCACAAGCCTCCCCACACACAGTCGTCCACTTCCAAGGAGCTTCCCTGTGGGTTAAGTGACTTCACCAAGAAACAAGAGACATGGAAACTGAAACAAGGAGGCTATGATCTGAAAGTTCATGGTCTTCCTAAGGGAATGAGGTAAAAAATAAACTTATAATGAGCTGGAGTGGTGAACACAAGCCTCGGCCTACACATGCACCCGTACACACACACACACACACACACACACAGCGGACTCACGGAGATCACCTGGCTCGGGGACATGTCTGTGCAGGAGGACGGGACAAGGGTCTCCTCTAAGACTTCCGGCAGACAGTGGTGCACATCCTTCTCCTCCAGCTTCCGGTAAGTCAGGCCTAAGAGCAGAGACACACAGCACAGAAGAGGGTGAGGCACCCACACAGAGTGCAGCGCTTTCCACACTGACTGACCAACCTCAGTCAAATTCACTGGGGGCTGCGGCGCGGTTTGGGGTCAATGGTACAGGCCAAGTGAATCTAACGGGCAAAGGTTCTCATACAGGCCTTGCCACTGCAGATGACAGCCCAGTGTCAGCTCACAGCGGGCCTGAGAGGACAGGACAGAACTGCCACCAGGGTCCCTGATCTTCATGGACACAGCCTGTCACACCTTCTCTCACAGGCGGGGCCCAACTCACCAACTTTCTGTCAGCAGCCCATGCTTACCCCACTGCACCACCAGGGATCCGACCCATGTCACACCCTGACTTAAGGACTCAATTATTGAAAACAAATATTATCAAAAGTTAAACTACTACAATTTAAAATATACAGGGCTGGGGGGTGGGGTGGATTGTATACCAATGAAATAATTTTTATTTTACTTTTCAAAGAGAGGTGTGAACTGGGGGGAGGGGTGGGCAGGGAGAAAAATGCAACAATGAATGTATGGAAATCCAAAATCTCTGTAAACGTTCATGAAAATTAATTTTTAAAATAAATAAATAAATAAGAACATGGAGGTATTACACAGAGTCACTGTACCAAAAAGAATTAGCTGACCCTGAAATATTTCAGAAGGTGAGATATAGATAGATAGATAGATAGATAGATAGATAGATAGATAGATAGATAGATATGGCTCCATAGTTAACAGTCTTGGCACCAGCAGCCAGGAAATGAAAAGGCGCATTGTCATGGGAAAGTCTGCTGTTAGGGACCTCTCGAAAGTACTGAAGAGCAATGGTGTCTCTCTGGAGACTAAGGTGAGCCTGATACAGGCCATGGTCTTCGCAATCACTTGTTATGCATCAGAGAGTTGGACA